CGTGATCAAGTAGTACTGAGCAATGGCAACTGATTCAGCCATTCACGCGCATCGTGGTTAAGAATGGCATATTCTAAGAGTCTGGGCTTGGTTGCTTCGATCCGACGCGGGTCAGTTTTGCAGGTATTGGATATTGCATGTAGGTTGTACAACATGAATCCAATTAACATAACCATGTAGAGCTGTAACATGTAAACTGTGGGGAGACTCCAACTTTTTTCGGCAAGGAATCTGAAGAAGTGAGATGTACGTAGCTGTATAAGCTGTTCAAGTGGCATGCAGAACAATCGACATGAACAGCCACAACGCAAGGAAGCAAAAGAAGATAAGACTATGTGCATCATGATTCGAGCCCATTATTTTCAGTTTTACTTCCAACACGCCACTTTCAGTGTGAGCGCGCGGCCACGTGACGGCCCCCGCGGCGGCCACGGTAAGTGTGCAGCATACGATGCTCAAATCAGCCAAAGGCCGCGGACTTTCGAGTATATGGCGAGGTGATTGAGGAATATGGCCTCACTTATAGAAAGAAAAGGCAGTGATATCTAACCGACTTCGAGAATCATTTGTAAATTCCAGATCGCGTGCTGCGCTATGTGTGCCTCGCGTGTTTTTGAGCATAGACTACCAATCGGCAGCATTTACTGGCTGTATGGTGAAAGAATGTTGCAGGGCCCCTTTAGCACATTTTCGCACTTGTTAAGTATTACGGGCCTGCGTGAACACCTGTTATTACCGTATGGTGCAACTGACACATTCGCTTCAGTTACTTATTGCTCATTTTATTCTCTCTTTTCCTCTTCTCTGTCCGTTTCTTCCAACTTCTATTCCCATTTACGATTCCTTAAGCGTATACGGTAGCAAGATTGATTGATTGATTGATATGTGGGGTTTAACGTCCCAAAACCACTATATGATTATGAGAGACGCCGTAGTGGAGGGCCCCGGAAATTTAGACCACCTGGGGTTCTTTAACGTGCACCCAAATCTGAGCACACGGGCCTACAACATTTCCGCCTCCATCGGAAATGCAGCCGCCGCAGCCGCGATTCGAACCCGCGCCCTGCGGGTCAGCAGCCGAGTACCTTAGCCACTAGACCACCGCGGCGGGGCACGGTAGCAAGAAGTGAACGTTTCGGGTTAACTTCCCCGCCTGCTCCCTTTTGTTTTCTTCGTTCCTTCCTACCTTCAGGTATTGTAGCTGCTTCTGAGCCTTTCTGCATCAGCGTCCAGTGAATTTGCATCGCTTCCTTACCTTCCTTTTCATTGCAGTTCTGCATTTAGACAGGAATATCCAAGAAGAAGGATGTCATGTCTGGCGCGATCCGCTACGTACGGCGACTTTTCTTCATGGCATGAGCCCACTGAAATGTTTCGCGAGGAAACGTTTTGATTAATATATTCCCCCTCAGGATCGGCATGACCACTGATGCGCTTAGACGGCCGCCTGTTCAAACAGTGGAATAGACAGAAGAAATGTATGTTTTCTGTTTACGTATGAAAAAAAAAATTAACTGTAGAAAGGAAGGCTACGTTAGCGCCGGCTTTGCCGTCAACATGATATTGGTGTCCAAGAAAGGCACAGAGGATGAAAATAATGGGCAAAGAAAGAATAATAGCAAGCTGTGTACTATCAAAAGCAAAAAAGTTGGCAGGGCGTGAAATGTTTGATAAAGCTGAATTCCCACTTTGTCTGGAAATGTAATTTTAAATAAATGTTCCACGCCGTACTTGACATTCCAGCCTGTCCAATCCACAGCTTGATCACAAGCATTAAGCACTGATAGAACAGAAATTCGTATTTGTTGTGGATATAATGCCCCGCTAATTTTTGCTGTTGATAGTATATGTACGATATCTGAAGTCTAAAGAATAGGCAGTGTCTAAGGGCGGAGTCCAATATACTTACTGGGCTACCGCTGATAGAATCTGTAAAGATATTTTTTTATATTCTTAAATATAACACGGAAGAACGGGGAGATTGGCCAATGTTTAGACCAGCTGACTGCACCGTGGTGTGGAAAAGAAGTAAAAGGAGTAAAAAAGAATAGCGAAGAGTAATTAGAAAGAAAGAAAAAAACATCAAAGAAAAATGAAAATAGGACACTGCTTGTGTTCTCTTTAACATATTCGCATAATGTATATATAGCTGACTATACATCTCGTAAACAGAGATAGTACAAAATTCCATGGTCGCTATACGGAGTTGACAGCACTGTTGTCTTGAACTTCAAGAGTCGTACAGTGCCTATTTTCTTTCGCTTTGCGCATCATAATGTTTTTTTTTTAATTTGGAATATCTTGTTTCAAAATATTTTCATAGACTCCTTCTTTGACTAAATAAATGCGAAGCATTTCTTAGCGAACTTCGGTGACATTGAGCGTATCTATCTATCTATCTATCTATCTATCTATCAATCTATCAATCTATCAATCTATCTATCTATCTATCTATCTATCTATCTATCTATCTATCTATCTATCTATCTATCTATCTATCTATCTATCTATCTATCTATCTATCTATCTATCTATCCATCTATCCATCTATCTATCAATCTATCTATCCATCTATCCATCTATCTATCAATCTATCTATCCATCTATCTATCAATCTATCAATCAATCTATCTATCAATCTATCTATCAATCTATCAATCAATCTATCTATCAATCTATCACACTCTATCAATCTATCTATCAATCTATCTATCTATCTATCTATCTATCTATCTATCTATCTATCTATCTATCTATCTATCTATCTATCTATCTATCTATCTATCTATCTATCTATCTATCTATCTATATATTTATATATCTATCTATCTATCTATGAATCTATCTATCTATCTATCTATCTATCTATCTATCTATCTATCTATCTATCTATCTATCTATCTATCAATCTATCTATCTATCTATCTATCTATCTATCTATCTATCATCTGCCTAACTGTCTCTCTGCCTATCTGTCTTTCTGTCTGTCTGTCTGTCTGTCTGTCTGTCTGTCTGTCTGTCTGTCCGCCTACAACCTTTAGCTCTCCTGGCCGTTTCGATAATGGTATCGATACCAAACTTGGTATGGCATAACATGACTGTATGAAGAACATATTTGACTAGTCATACCATGAGAATCATGACATAGATGTCATGAATGTCCCTGCAATTTACCCTGCATGGTCCTGCAGGTGGTTTCGTTCACATGGAACGTTGCAAAACTGGTATTGTATGACATGATTGCATGGTGAACACAAGCGACAGGCCCTAACGTGAAAATCATGGCATGCGTGTCATGTAACAATATGACTACATGCCAAGCTCATGATGCGCTCGCGGCTGTTTCACTAGCGTCACATATACCAAATTTTGTATTACGGTACGTGAATAGATGATGAAGGTCTGGTGCAAACATGATAAGCATGAGATGCGTGTCATGTAACATTATGGCTACATGCCACGCTAATGAAGCGCTCGCGGCCGTTTCGCTATCTTCACTTAGAACAAATTTTGTATTACGGGATGTGAATGGATGACGAAGGTATGATACTGGTGCAAACATGATAAACATGAGAAGCGTGTCATGTAACAACATGACAACATGCTACGCTCAAGATGCGCTCGCGGCCATTTCGGTAGCTTTACATGTACCAAACTCGGCATTAAGCGACGCAAACGCACGACATGGATAAATGACACATTCAAACATGATGATCACGACATGCGTGTCACGTAACAACATGACTATATTCCACACTCATGATGCGCTCGCGGCCGCTTCGCTAGCTTTACACATGCCAAATTCGGTATTACGTGACGTCAATGGATGACGAAGGTATGTGATTGGTGCAAACATGATAATCATGAGATGTGTGTCATGTGACAATATGACTACATGCCACAGTCAAGGCGCCAATACATTTCGACGCAACGCGGTGCGCGTGCTCGCCGGCGTTTATTTCGACGCGTCATGCCGGCATTGCGACGCCAGGCGCCGGTCCTGCCATATACTCGCAGGCACGCGCCGCATTGCGTTGCTTTGACGCATGCGCGTTTCAGCGCGTCCAGCGTCCCTCCGTCACGAAAAGAAGGAGACGCTGAATAACGCATCGGCGCGTTATGCAGCATGTCGAATTTCGCACCGGTTGCCGTCGGGCAGCGCCGACAGACACTGGTCGCACCGGTCGTGCTTGGCGTCAGACTATAGAGTGCTCGCGTTTCGCTAACGTAGCATCGCCGTGCCCAGCGTGCGCGCGCGTCAATTCTAGTATATTGGGCCCTTCATAATGTAATTGGGGCCGTTTTGCTAGCTCCACATATACCAAATTCGGTGTTAAGTGACGTCAATGGATAATGAAAGTATACGACTGGTGCAAAAATGATAATCCTGACACGCGTACAATGTAAGAGCTCGACAACATACCACGCTGATAGCGTGCTCGCGGTCATTTCGCTAGCTCCAGATATGCTAAATTTGGTATCACGTGACGTAAATAAATGACGAAGGTAAATGACATCCAAACATGATAATCATGAAATGGAAGTCATGTACCTACACCTCATAACGTTGTGCTGATTTTAAAATAACATATCAACCTTTCTCATTCGTGCTTCGCATATAATTTCAAGTAAATCTGTTCCCCTTGCAGTGCTTGAACAATTGTTCAAGACTATAATATCTGCGCAAGCGAGCAATCTCAAGCGTTAGTATGATACGCGGATTGCTGTCAAGATTACTCACAAATAAGGTTTGTTCGAATGTGTCACCATCATACAACCTGCGAGTTGCACAGCCTGCCGCGTTTTCCACATCATTTCCAAATCATTAACCCTATGCTATGTTAGCTTCTTACGACGTCGACTAACTCAGTGACAAGGTTTTTAGCAGTAAGCACGTGCGCACTGAAGAAAGTTCTGCTGCCCGTCGAAGTAATATAAGCAAGCCTATGCGTACGCAACTATTGGTTAATTACAATGCCAAGGTTAATGTGACAAACGTAGCCAGTATAGCAGTTTTATTGCACTTCATCACCCTGTCGACGAACCGACTGCAAAGATTCCTTCAGCCCAGTCCTTCCACGAAGCATGATGTTTCGGGCGTAGCGCATCATGGCGAGGGCGACTCTGACGTCAGAAGGTAAGCTGGTCCGCATGCACTCCTATGGAGTCATCGTAATGAAAGGGTTGTTTATTACTGTAATGCAGGGACAAAACAAAAATTCAGAACATGGAGAGAAGTATTGTCAGAATATTGTGGCCAAAATGGAAAAAAAATAGCGCTTAGACTCATATGGCGGCTAAATTTTCACAGTTGATTGATTTATATGTGGGGTTTAACGTTCCAAAACCCCCATATGATTATGAGAGACGCTGTAGATAGAGGGCTGCGGAAATTTCGTTCACCTGTAGTTCTTTAACGTGCACCCAAATCTGAGCACACGGGCCTACAACATTTCCGCCTCCATCAGAAATGCAGCCGCCGCAGCCGAGATTCGAACCCGCGACCTGCGGTTCAGCGGGCGAGTACCTTAGCCACTAGACCACCGCGGCGGGTCTAAATTTTCGCAATGTAGCGGTTGAAGTAAAAACATGGCTAGTGTAATTTTGCATAGCATAGTTTGTATGTAAAACATGCATAAAGATTTAGAAAAGTAGATTTTGTTTTAAAGCAGAAAAAATTTTTCCATCGGAACCACAAGATAGTACGAAACTTGCCGTTGCCTCGCCTTCACTGCATAGCACGTTAGCGCGAGGTTTCAGCGGGGGTTTTTCGCCAGCGAATAATGCATGTCATACAACTGCCTGTTTTTGTTTTTGTAATTTTATTGCACAAAACATGAAAAATAGGCAATAGTGCTTGTTTTATGAAACGGTATCTTCCTCCTAGGAACAATAAAGAGCAGATTTACTTCGAGTCTTCTACCGCTTCTCAGTCTCTAGAGGGAAAATAAAATGCAGTCGATGACCTGCAAAGTAGTATTGGGGCGTTCTGTCTGGCTTCTGATAATTATTACTTGTTACACAGGCTCTTCATAATATATATCGACATAAAATTGTACAGTTTACCTAAGCTGTTTTTAGGATGTTGCAAACAGGCGCATAGCAAGAATTTTTTTTTTCGGGGGGGGGGGCACCATCTTGATTTCTGGGGGGGGGGGGGGGAGGTCACCCCTTTAGATGGCCATTCTTCGCTCTCTAAGCAATGGCGAAAAAAATATGGGGGTGGGGGTGGGGGGGCACGTGCTCGATGTGCCACTTTTGGCTACGCCCCTGGTTGCAGTCCAATTGATTGATTGATTGATCGATTGATTGATTGATATGTGGGGTTTAACGTCACAAAACCACCATATGATTATGAGAGACGCCGTAGTGGAGGGCTCCGGAAATTTCGACCACCTGGGGTTTTTTAACGTGCACCCAAATCTGAGCACATGGGCATGCAACATTTCCGCCTCCATCGGAAATGCAGCCGCCGCAGCCGGGATCCCCACCCGCGACCTGCGGGTCAGCAGCCGAGTACCTTAGCTACTAGACCACCTTGGCGGGGCTAGTTGCAGTCCGATGAGTGATCGCTTACGGCTGCTGTGCGTGATGACATGATGGGTGTACATATTGGAGTTGATTGGTTAACATGCCCATAAGTGACGCGTATTTCGCCATTTCCGGTTGTCCCATAAACTTCTCATTCGTCTTTTTTAATTATTTCTAGGCTGTTGTAAATGTTACCAGGACGTCACTTTTACCAGACGGGCTTATAATTAAAAAATTTGCAGCACTTTCGGACCATTATGAAGGTGGGTGATGAAAAGTCCCTCCAGAAATAGGGACCGTCAGGCGACGCACGATATGCCTCGCTTCATCTGCGCGACAGAGTGCCTCAGCAAGAGGTGCCTTTTCCGATCATGAGTTGTGCGTGGTGGACGGATGTAGTCCAGGTAGAACGGGCTGAAGCCGGCGGTCTCATAGAGCGCAGTATTGTACGCATGCGTCATAAACGGTAAAATTGCGTCTCGGTTTTGTGCTTCATGTGAACGTAGATAGCAAGCATGTTAATGAGAGTCCTCGCGCTCAGGGAGTCCGTTGGTCTGTAGATGGTTCAAAGTGGCCTGCCGAAACTGGGAAGACCTGCGAAGCAGCTCCTCCACGACGACGGCTACAAAGCTGTCGGCCACGACTCACTGATAATGGCGCGAGGGGACCCATGCCCAAGGATGATGTAGCGTAGTAAGAAGTCCGAAACAGTGTTCAGCTGTTGCGACGGTGAGCGCGGCAGGTTTCAGCATAACGAGTGAGGTGATCGATGCATATTACATCCAGTGGTTTCCAGGGATCGACCACGGATAAGGGCCCTTTAAGTTCGATACTGACGACCTCAAAGGGAAACACATGAGATGGTATGGCATGAATAAGTCCCGCTGGTGCACTAGTTGGACGTTTGTATCGTTGGCAATGCGCACAACTCGTGACGTATACTTACCTGTAGCTTGACGCATGCCTCGCCAATAGAAACGTTCCACCGCACGGAGGTAAGTCCTAGCAGATCTCATATGGTCGGATGGTGGGTCGTCATGCATAGCTTGCGGCACGGTGAATCTCAAAGATTTAGGGTTAACAAAAAGTAGGCGGGTCCCCTTTGGAGCAAATTTTCACATATCAAAAATGCCATCCTGTATAACGAAAGGCGACTGACCCGGCTTCTCGACGGCAGATGAGAAAAAAGAAGCCGAACTATGACTTTTGCGTTATTCAGCACGAAATCTAGCGAAATCTGGAAATGGTGTGTCCAGAGCTGCCTGCTAGTTGCCGAAACTGTCGGCGTCACATTCCATGGAGGGAAGGGGAAGCCGTGAGAGGTGGTCAGCGTCTGCGTAACGGTGGCCCCTCTTGAGACACACATCCAAGTCATATGTTCTTGCAAACGTAGAGCCCTTCGTGCAGGGTGGCCGAAAGGATCGCGTATATCAGTGAGCCAACAGAGTGAGTGGTGGTCTGTGACGATGGAGAATCAGCGGCCATAAAGGTACGGTCGAAACTTGTGCACTGCAAAAACGACCGCCAGACATTCTTGCTCTGTAACGATGTAATTGCGTCCAACTTTGCACGAATAGCGGCTTGCGTAGGCAATGACATGTTCGGCGGCTCCGTGACGCCGAACTAAGACTGCGCCGATGGTGATTCCACTGGCGTCACTGTGCACTTCAGTTGCGGCTGATGCGTCAAAATGGCGAAGGATAGGCCTGGAAGTTAGTCGAAACTTAAGCGCAGAAAATTATGATTCGCACTCAATCGTTCACTGGAAGCGCTAATCTTTGCTGAGCAGACGGGAAAGGGGCTCAGACACATCAGTGAAGTTAGGCACAAAGCGCCGGAAATATCAGCACAGGCCCAAGAAGTTCAGAAGTTCTCGTATTGAATGTGGTTGAGGGAAGCTGCTCACTGTGTTTACTTTATGTCGATCAGGTCGAACGCCGTGCCTGCCTACGAGATGTCCAAGGATTGTAGCTTAACAGTCACCGAAAAAGGTGACTGTTAAGGTTAGGCACACTTTCTCAATGCATCAAGGCGACGATTGTATTCGTCAAACGTGCATCCAAAAATTACTGAATCGTCAAGATAGCAAAATCATATTCACCATTTTAAGCCGCGAAGTACTGTGCCCCTAAAACGCTCAAATGTGGCAGGAGCATTGCATAAATCAAGCGACATGATATTAAACTTAAGTAGGCCGTCTGGAGTTGTAAACGCCGTTTGGTCCTTGCGTGCAGAGTGCATAGGCATTTGACCCCGATGTCATGTTGACGGACGAAAAATATGAGGCTGAGTGTAGACAATCGATGACATCGTCAATACGAGGAAGTTGGTATACATCTTTTTTTTTGTAACTGAGTTCAGCCGCCGGTAATCTAACCATCTTTCTTCTTTACAAGTATAATGGGCGCTGCTCAGGGGCTAAACGACTCCTGAATAACTTTCTTTGCTAGCAATTCTTCCACCTGCTGCGCAATTATTTTTCGCTCAGACGGAGATACTCTGTGCGGTCTCTGGTGGATGAGATAAGCAGAACCAGTATTGACAACATGGCGAGTCCGTGAAGCTGGTATAGAAATGGCTTGGTCATTCAGCGCGAAATCGAAGACGGAAGCATGCTTGGAGAAAATTGGCACAAATGTTTCCCTCTTCTCTGATGGCAAGAAGTTACTTGCCATACACAGGAATAGGTCATCAAAGGGGTACGCTAGATATGATGCATCGTTTTTGTCGTCGCTAATTACCGCAATGGTAAAGTTATCTCTGGCATCTGGTTCAAAACTGCCATCCGCATTCTGCTATAGGCCAAACAATCGGCTCAAAAAATTAGTCAAGTACCCCCAGTAGGAATTTGCTGCAGCTCGTGGAAATTACACAACGTGGTACAAACACTTTTTTTGCGCAGCTCAGCTGGATCGGGTCACCCATGATAACGACGTTATCAGCTGCGACACCACAAACATCAACAGGCAATCAAACAATAGACTGCGCCGGTAGAATTATGTCCCCAACGACGGCAATAGTCTGTTGGCACTGCGTGGGCTCCTCACAAAATGTGGACAGTGAAATTTCACCAGCACCGCAGTCCAAGATGACACCACATTCTATAAAGGGGCCCTGCAACACTTTTTGAGCATGGTCAGAAAACGCGAATGATCGGTAGTATAGAGGTTCCTGACAACACGCGAGCCAAATATTATAGCACAGCACGCGGCCTGGAGTTCACAATAAATTATCAGTCATCTAAAAATTGCTTTCTCTTCTCTCCACGAATGGCGGAAAACGCTCAATAAACCACTCGTAGTCCATCTATCAGCCATTGACCGATTTGAAAATGGCACGCTCAGTCGTTACAGAGATCGCCGTGGGAGGCCACGACTTGTCCATGCGTGCATGCGCGATCACACTGAGAAAACCGCGCATTCGAAGAAAAAAAAACAAGAAAAAGTGCTCAAGGTCACGAGGTGTGCGTGACGTTTTTTTTTTTTTTTTGCCCCTGTCATCCCTCCCTGCTTAGCTTCCAGCGCTTTCGTCAGGACGAGAGAAGAGATAATGCAATTGTAGAATGCGAGAAATCTTTGTAACTCCACTCGCACTGGACGGATTCTTAAGATTTTCGCGGCGTTGAATT